GGCTCCATGTGAGCGGCGCCGAGTCGGGCGGCGGGGCGCGGGCCGGGCCCCCACGCGTGAGTCGGCCGGGGGGGCGGTTTTCTTCCGGGAAAGTTACTCCCGCGCCTCCTCCCGCCTGCGGGGGCGAGCCCGGGGTAGGGGAAGGCGCGATTTTAAAATGCTCCGGCGGAGGGGCTGCAGCAGGCAGCAGTGTGCGTGCCGGGCTCGTTCCCCTTGATCCGGGGGGCCTGGGAGCGTGCCCCCTGCCCCGTGCAGCGCGGGGGTGGGCGTCTGGGTGCAGCCCCAGTCGTGGCACTTCACCCGGCTGGCAGCCAGGCCGCCGCGGTGTCACAATAAGAGTCTCCGCTTCCCCCTCTGTCGGGGGGGCACCGCTGCTGCACCCCTCCTCCTGCTGGCAAGCACCCTGGGGCTTCCAGACCCCCGCGGGGGGGTAACCATTTCTTCCCTCCACCCCTACCTGTAATGCACCAGCCGCGACTGCACGGATCCCTTTTTTTGAAAAAAATGCATCTGTCTGCAAGCGGTGGGTCGCTGGTTGCAGCCCTGTTGGTCCAAGGGCATAGGCAGGCACCGCTGCAATCTCCTTTATGGGCCTCCCCGCGCAGCCCCTCGGAAGCGGACAGGCTGCCCCCCGCCCTCCGGGGTGAAGCACATGTTTTAACCGGGTCCAGGCGGCACGGGTATTGTACCTGCATTGGTGCTCAGCACGGTTTGTGTTCCGAGTGGTTTAAACAAACAAAAATCAGAGTGCTTGAGAGGTGAGGAGCAAGTATCCACGTCTCTTTTGGGGGGAAACCGAGCCTAAGTGGCTTGCCAAGAGCAGGGGTGTTGGTTGTACCGTGTTGGTCCAAGGACACGGGCAGGCACGTTTCTTTGGGCAGATGTGATCGCTTTTATTAGAACAACTCAATAACTGCAAAAAAGTTCCTTGCTTTATTTCCAGCTACTCGGTCTAATAAAAGAGATCACATCTGCCCAAAGAGCCTTGCTGTTTAGTCCTGGTCATTTATCTGTGACTAGAGGAGAGGGTTTTTGGGTTTTTGTGAAAGAAAAGTGAATCGCAGCTTGCACAGACGTTCCAGACGAGTGCGTGCACCTTCATTTCAGGGCAATTAGACTCTTACATTAAAGCCTCCAAAGCGAGGTTCTTTGCTTTTACTTTCTCTTGTTTCTTCCTTGTTCCCCTTTCCTTTCCATTCCATTTCTGGGCGTGTAGTAGACTCCCCTTTGCAAAGTAAGAGGTTCCCCAAGCGTGGTCCCGAGTCCAGTGGGGAAGGCAAAACCCACTGAGATTTTCCTTCCAGCTGTTTCTACATGTGTTGAGGGTTTTTCACACTCACCTTTGCATCTGAGGCCTAGAAATGCAATTGGAAGGAAAGAAGCAGTCTCCCTGCCTCTGCTAGGGACCACTGCTGCACAGGAAGAGAAGAAACAAGAGCTGCCTCGGGGACAAGAAGGCACCAGTGGGACTGAAGCAGCTTGCCATCGGGAGAAGAGAATGAAACATCTGGGCTCAAAAAGATGGGGGAGAGAGAGGAGGTTGCAAAGTGCCTGGGATGCATGAGGAGGGAGGGGCGGGTAGCAGGGACGCAGGTGGCCCAGGTGCGAGCGGGCTAGCAGAAGAACAGAGCAGATGGACAAGGAGATAAAACCACACACTGCACATTAAAGACACAACAAACCATCAGGTCTCCTGAGCATCTTGCTTCTCCCGCTCTGCCAGTGTTGTGTGACCACGAGGGTGTTGTGCGCCTCAGGGACCTCCTGTAGACCCCGTGGCCAGTCTGCCTGCCCAGCAATGGTGCAAATGGGGCAGGCTCCATAAATTTGGGAGTCCCTGCTCCAGATTTTGTGGAAGCAATGCCAGAGTGACACCTACTGGCATTGGGAGGCAGAGATGCAGGCAAGCCGTGTCGCTGGACAGGCAGGGGCTGTGCTCGCCAAAATTGAGGTAACAGCTCGGAAATACACCTGTGCTTGCTGAAGAGAGAGTGGCGTGAGACTTTACCCTCCATTCATTTATTTAGTTATGATACTTGCCGCTCTGTGGGACTAAGTATAGTTGAATGCTTCCACTGCTGCTATTTAGAGGTTGTGATGAATGCTTCATGGGTGCATCTCAAACCACAAAGCAGAACTGGGTATCCTTGTGCCCATTTGACAGATTAACACCCCCCACCCCCAGTTAAGTGACTTGGCCAGGGTCATGCAAGAAATCAGTGTCGGGGCCAGAGAGAGACCTTCTCTCTTCCATGTCCTCCTCCTGAATTGTCAGTTTTGAATGATGGATTGAGAGGTAGAGGGGCTTGCTTGGCATGTGACTTGGGACTTGAAGTGATGTTCAAAGCTATTCAGGTACCACTCGTGGTGACAACAGCCAGCTGGCATTGTGTTAGCTTTGTCTGGGGAGATGCAGGCATCCTGACACCCAGAAACCAACTGAATTCTTGCTGTTGGAAAGGGTGAACTTTGCCACCCAGACTGCCCCGGGGAAGGAGCTGTGTTTGCCCCGATCAGCTGCAGCGAAGTGGGACAGGCAGAAGGCAGCGGGAACGTGCAGGTGTAAGAAGAGGCCGGAGTTGCACTGTCGCATCTCAATGTTACATCAACACACTGATGCAACCATGTTGCGCCCAGACCCTCAATAACCTGCCCAGCGTCGCAACGCCACGTGGCTGTTGTACAGCCCGCGGCTCACCTGTCCACCTGGGTGGTGGGGCACAGAGCTGCTCTCCACGCCATGGGTTCAGCGCGCCACCATGGATGTGGTTACCGTCTGATAGGTCCGTGGCCAAAGTGAAGCAACTGGATGATCTCGGATGGTCTCTTGGCAAACAAGGCCGCACGTGACACTTGGCACTCGGGCTGATGACTTCATTGCATGGTCGGAGAATTCGGTTGATAAGGAAACTTGCTGGGTGGGGGAAGGGCCGGCTCGCTGGCCCGGAAGGTCCTTGGTGGGCTTGCCTTTCTTATCTAAATGGCTTCTCTTGTGGGATCCCTCCTGCGCAGGGGTTCATGTCAGTGGCTGGGCAGGGCGTTTGCATTGCACCCTTTTACCTGGTCTGGCTTTTAAAAAATCATGGTGAGCAGCCCTTCTAATAGCACTAAGAGCATTCTTCAGGGCAATTAAAAGCGGGCAGAAAATTGCAAGTAGAACAGGTATGCTTTGCACCTCAATAAGGAACTTCAATGAGCAGAGCCCAGGTTGGAGCCCATTCAAGAAAAAAACAAAGTTATGGCATATTGTGCCTTTCTGAAATGGTGTCCGTGTTGTGAGGTCCCCAAGGCAGTTGCTAAGCAACTGGAGGAGTCCTGGGTGACTCCCTCTCGAGAAATTTGAAGTCAGAAAGGCTGAGACAACAGGGTGGCCGTGCTTTGAGCACAGCTTCAACTCGCTGCTGGAGCGGGAGAGTGTCTGTCCTCCGGCACTTTGCTATTGGAAGTCGCTCCGGTGCGTCCGTCCAGCAGAGAGCTCTTGCACCGGGGCATTTGGGCTTGCAGAAGACAGGTGCCGCTTGCAGATGCTCCGGATGCCTTAATGGAGCAGATGTGGCTGCTTAATTGTAATGCATGTAGCTTCGGGAGCTCAGGGGTGTGCGTATTTAGTATCTTTTGTAAAATATATATTTACAATTCGAAGTAAAGAGAAATCCCAGGTTCTAGGTAGGTGCCTGCAATATTTCCAGCTTATGTCGCATACAGGAAGGTCGGAGATGCTTTCTTTTCGAATATAGCACAGAGATGCATTGTACTTGGGCTCTTACAACTCTTCTGCTAGGAGAAGAGGCTTCTCTATCCTTGTGCCATGCTGGGTGGACCCACACAGCAACAAGGTTCGTGGTGCTTTGGTTCCTCCTCTTCCCTTTCCTTCTCCTCCCCACCCCGGTTAAAAAGATATTTTATAAAACTCCTCATGTATAAACCCCGTATAATTTGCACAACAGAAGAGCTAGAAGGAAAGCATGGATATTATGCATTTGTATGGCACCTCTCACATAAGGATATCAAAGAGTTTCTATTACAGAATATTTAAAACTGGTTCAGTGCTGTATTCTGGTTGTGCAACTCTTTTCAGTTTGGTGTAAAGAGGATTGAAATAATATTGTTGGGGCCGTCATGATCTAGGAAGCGTATGGAAGGCAAGGAATTTTTGTGATCCCTTTTACTGGACCAGCAGTGTAGTTAGGAGAGCTGTTGGCTGAGCGTTCAGGCACCAAGCATCCTTCCTCGGGTGTTAAGAAGAAGAAACATGGTCCTTTTTTTGGCAGGGTGTGTGGGGTTTTGGATGTGTCGAAGGAGTGGCAGTGTTTCTGAAGGCCAACCCACGGGGTCTTGGGAATACTTGGTGTATTTCATTCTTCTAATACTATACCGTGATGTGATTGATTGATTTATTTATTTATTTTTAAAGCTTATGAAGAGACCCAAACATTTTCTTGTGTTCCTGAAGCCATAATTAGCAGTGTGTGGTTCCTCGCTGTCTGAAAATAGAATAGGTTTGTCTTTAGACTAAGAGGAAAAAAGCTTGGTCCTTTCACGTCCAAGGCATTTTGCAAAAATGCCAGTGCAGGAAGCACGATGCAGTAGCAGCCTTTCAGTGTTAGATATTAAAATGCTTTAATGACCAAGGAAATGTCCCCCTCATCTCTCCCTGTGACTGCCATGTTGTGTCTGTTTTATACTAGAATGAATGCTTGGGCATGGGCTTCAGCTTAGTATCTTGTCCAAAAGTCAGCTGCCCCTTTCTCTGCCCCACTCCCAATATGCTGCACCTCTTGGGATGCAATGGGAATGAATTCAAGGGCTGGGCTGAGACTTGATCCTGAAACACAAGTCCTGCTTGACTTCTTTTCTTAAAAAAAAAAATATATTTATATGTTAAATACCTAACAGTGTGTTCTCTTTATGTGCACATGTAATTTTCGTCATTTTTAATGGGAGTGAGGGTACAAGCCAATGTTGAGAGGTGAATTTAACTGTTGGTGCACCACAACTTTTATGTGTAGGTATTGTCATTGGAAAACCACGTGGTTCCACCCCATCACCCAGCTAT